ATACTGTCCAATCACCACCAGAAGGACCACACTGGAAATAAGTCTTCAGCTTCTAGACTTTCGTGGGCTATCCTTTGTGTTTACACCGAATAAAAAATCCAATCCAATCCATTGTGATGAGACGATCGTAAATTGGATGAGTCGTCAGACCGTGTTAATGAATTATGTAATCTTTGAGGGAGTACGATGGGTGCACCGATGCATAGGCGTAGATCCCGGGAGGATGGGGATATATCCCCCCCCCCCCAATATTTGACAAGGGGGATGGTCCATTGCATCACCCCGCCCACCAATATTTTGACTATTTATGGGATAAAATGGAGCTTTACACACTTAGAAAGACTGTCACAGAAATAATTTGCACTGTCTTATGCGCTTACAAAGACGAAAATTAGCATAATGTATAATGTTGAAAACAAAATTATTTTATTTGTTACCAATCTAAGCTCTTCTTTCCTTAGATGTTAGATGTGCTTGCAAAGAGAGCCACATTTCACACTGAAGGGTGTGTACGACATCAGTAATGTTATGTCAATTCCAAGAATGTTTAAGGTTATATCGGTTGATGAGGAATGTATTGATTAGGCCTATAATAGCATATTGCATCAATTTATTTTGCCAAAACAAGGTTTCCAGCTTCAGAGCGGGGCACATCCCCTGTCCGCACAATTGCACATATTGGCGCTAACACCAGGCGCGTAACAGGGGTCTTGGGTCAGAGTGGGTATTTATTTTTTTTTTATTTTTTATTTCAACCATCTTTAAAGAGGGTAACTCTTCTAGTTTAGCCCAGTAGGTTAACTGATATTCAGGGGCCCTCTTTAATAAAATTAAAGAACAGTAGGCTACAAACAACATCATTACAACATCATCATCATCATCATCAACATCATCATCATCATCATCATCATCATCATAATAATAATAATAATAATAATAATAATAATAATAATAATAATAATAATAAATAATAATAATAATAATAATAATAATAATAACAATAATAATAATAATAATAATAATAATAATAATAATAATAATAATAATAATAATAATAATAATAATAATTATAATAATAATACAATCCTCATTTCACGGTTAGTAATTTACCATACCTACCCCACCCAACTCCCCATATAGAAAACAATACGACATAGGGCTTATCTTATTTATAATATGGGCCACACACGTGTGTTTGAAACTAAATATAAGCATTTTCATCATGGTTTTATTTATTACAAACATATTCTTTCACCATCTATACACATTGAGGCCGTTCTTTTAGGTTAAAATGATCTATCTTAAATTTGTCTTTCTTGAGTTTTGGACTATTATGTGCTTAAATAACTTAAAAGGATAAAACTAAAAAAGCCATAAAAAGTGCGCGCCAAGCGCGCAAAATATTTTTGTGTTTTTAATTCTAATTTCGTTGGAATTGATGAAAAATTCCTAAAATGTGCAATTTATAGAGGAAATTGAAATGCGCGCAAAGAATTTGAGAATTTTAGGCACTTTCAGAGGATGCATTTGTCAAGGGGTGG